CGATCTGTACTCCAAATCAGGTCACGAGAGTTTGCATCTTGTTGCAGAGCATCGTCACCCAGCAATCGCCGACTGCGTCAGACGTTCAACGAATCATATTTATGAAGCCCCGAACCCTAAAATCTCAGCCTCTTCAACACAGAACGACAGGTAGGGTGGTTTCTTGGTGGCTTTGGTATGACTTGAACGGGAATCCTCAATATGATCTAAGGCATTTTCCTTGCATACTAACCCTATAACCCTAAACCCCAAAGTATTCCTTGCAAAACTCTCTGGGAAACCTTCTTGCGCAGACTTCCCACCATCATTGACCTGGCTACCGGCGAATGCGAGAAGAGTGTTCCTTGCCTTTGTTTGGGTTTGGGATCTATAGGGTTTAGGATCTAGGGCTTTGGGTGTTTTGGAGAGTTTACGGTTTGGGGTTTCGGGTTTAGGTCAGCTGATAGGGTTTCCCACATGATAAGAATTTTGTGCTCGGAGCTTTTAGGTGATTCAGGCTTTAAGGTTACATGAGGATTCTAGAATCAGGATTGTAGAACCCTGAACCCAAAGCCCTAAACCCCTAAACCTGAAACCCTAAACCCCTAAACCCTAAACACAAAACCCTAAACCCCTAAACCGTGAGCCGCTACATCCTAAATGTAGAATGTAGAATCCTGGCAGACCTCAGACCCTGCCTGCAGATCCAGTCAAAATCGAAGTTCTTTTGCTTCACGACCACGCCTCATCCCCAGTTTTAAAGACGGTTCCCCACTTCGGTTTTTGGGGGTGTAGGGGTGGAGGGTTTAGGGTTTAGGGCCCATGCAACTCGTTTTGGGTAAGTTCCCTTGGTCCCGGAACTCTGAGTATTGACTTCGGGGAGCATTTATATGTGTGCTCAAAGACCCTTTCTGCAAGAGCCCCTGCTCGCTGATCATTAAAAAGTTCCTATAGTCTCTATTGTAGTTCCTTTCTTTTGCAGGATTCTATAAAGTATCCCCAAAAAGGAACTTCAATAGAGACTACAGGCTGGTTTGAGGAAGTAGAACAGTCGTATCCTGTTTTGAGTTTAAGGACCCCTACTAGGGTTTGTTCGAAAAACCCAAAACCCTCCCTAAAGCCTAAACCCTAAACCCTAAACCCTAAACCCTACACCCTAAACCCTAAATCCCTAATCCCTTATCCCTTATCCCTACATCCCTAAATCCCTAATCCCTAAATCCTAAACCCTAAACCGAAACCGTTAGTGCTTCGACCGGATCTTTAAGAACCGAGCCTCTGTCTCACGGAGGAGACTTCCCAAACGCTCTCTGTGAAGGAATAAGGTTTAGGGTTTAGGGTTTAGGGTTTAGGGATTTAGGGTTTAGGGTTTAGGGTTTAGGGTTTAGGGCTTAGGGTTTAGGGTTTAGGGTTTAGGGTTTAGGGATCATGCTGTTGATGATATAAATCCTGCATGACCTCAAGGACCCTATTCCATGGGAATTATGGTATATTCCTTATTATAGGTAATGCAAGATTTATATCAACCGTAGTAAGGATCCCCGTATAGATCGAGGTATCTTGCTTGAATAAGGGGATTTGGGTGTCTCTACCTCACAAGCACCCTAAGCCCTACGACCCTAAGCCCGAAATACTAGACCCTATAAACCCTAAACCCCTAACCCCGAACCCTACGACCCTAAGCCCGAAATACTAGACCCTATAAACCCCAAACCCCTAACCCCCAACCATGGAGCCTCAGGTATGGCAAGATGCAATTCAACTCTTGGCTGGGGTCATTGGCTATCCTGCTGCCCGAGAGCGGTGTGACCCGGCTCGGGAAGTTGACATGGCAGGTGTTCTAGTAAAGGCATGAACCAATGCAGGACTGAGGTTTTTAAGGGTTTTGAGGGTTTAGGGAAGTTTAGGGTTTAGGGCAGGTGATCTAGACACAGACCTCTATTATGGCCTCAATATCCGTTTGCAAAGAGCATAAGGGCTCTTTTAAAGGCACCTGCGCGGTTCTGGGCAAGTATTGCCTTTTGACTGGGATCTAGCGCTTCATGGTTCAGTCGTTGATGTGGCGTGCTGCGGAAAAGCAGATGCAATGCTGCAATTTGCAACTTCCCTTAGCTCCGTATTAGCCCCAAGCCTCAAACTATACATGTAGTCCCGTCCATAGACTGTAGGCCTTCTCAATCATAAGAGCTTCCACCTTAAACCCTAAACCCTAAACCCAATCCTGAACTGACGGCAAAAGGCGCTCAACAAAAATATTTTTTACGTCGAACATCCCCACCTTCACGGTAGTCTGTGAGGTTGGGCACTCCAGGAGGTAGTCTCAAAAGGCGAGGAGTAATAGCTGACTTTAAAATCTAACAACCCCACACCGAGGTTGGAGAACAAAACAAGGCTAGCCACCCCAAAATACCAAACATCGGCTTTAGCACCGTTCATGGCCCTTGCCTTGAGAGCCTGAACCTCTAAACCCCAAGCGGTCCCCGGGGATTCCAGAGCCCCTTAAAGGAACTTACTTAGCCAATGGGAGAACTTGAAGCCTTTTGGCCTTCTATATCTAGTCTATATGACCCTAAGGGTCCATGTACCCAAATAGTACATACTTTGGCCTTAATGTAGTC